TTAAAATATCAAGATGTTGTAACCCATTTAATTTACAAAAACATGCATATTATCGCAAGAATCTAAGAAAGATTCAACCTTGGATGACCAAAAAAAATTTACCAATCAATTTAAATATGCTAATATGCTCTTCATGCCGACAAAAATTAGCAAAGCTTCCTTATAATGACAATGATATTGATTCTCCTCCTCATATAGTTAATCAAGAGGCAATTGAAAACATTAATATATCCCTACAATCAATTGGGGAATCTCCCATTAAAATAAAACGCTTACGTGAAAAGAAATATCTAAAGAAAAAAATATCTAGCGTGAAAAAAGTTTTAGCGACTAAAATTATACCATTATCTTCATCAAATGATGAAAAATTAGATGAAATTCTCGATACCTTAAAAATCAATTTCCCACAGCTTTCGATAACAAACAAATATAGATTATTAACATTATTACCATCAAATTGGACAGTAAGAAGAATTATAGAAGAATTCAATATTTCATATCATATGGCGATAAAATCTAAAGGTTTAATAAAAGAAAAGGGGTTTTTTTCAACACCTAATCCTAAACCCGGCAAAATAATAGATGCCGCCACCGTTGATATTGTCAAATCTTTTTATAACAATGATCAATATAGTAGATCGATGCCTGGGAAAAGGGATTTTGTAACCATAATAAAGAACAGTGAAAAGATTCAAGTCCAAAAAAGATTAATTTTAATTAATTTACGAGAGCTATATCTTAAATTTAAAGATATTCATTCAAATATTAAAATTGGATTCTCTAAATTTTGTGATCTTCGTCCCGAGAATTGTGTATTTGTTCTAGTAGTGGTACCCATTCAATATGTGTTTGCTTCATTCATCAAAACACAAAATTAATGCTGTTGAGTTTGCCCAAAATTACTTTAAATGAAGATTTAATTAAGATTACATATTAGGATATATTACCAAAAATAATTTGTAATCCAGCATTACCAAAATGTTTTTTTGGTGATTGTGCTCAATGCCCTGGATCTTCTAATTTAAAGGCCATGATAAGTGAAATATTATATTCAATTGATATCGAATATAATACCTACAAGCAATGGGTAACCACAGATCGTACAGATCTTTTAACTATCACTTCATCAACCTTTAATTTTTTAAAAACGCTTTTCGAAAAGCTAAATATTTTACTATTACACTCATTCATAACAAAGCAGCAAACAATATTCATGAATGCTCTTAAAATTAATTTAAAGGAAGGATAATATATCGTGCAGGCAGATTTTGCTGAAAATTATGCCTTTGTGGTTCAAGATGAAGTACATGGGTTTCACTGGAATAAATCTCAAGTTATCATTCATCCTTTTGTCATTTATTACAAGTCACTTAATAATTTAAATCATTTAAGTTTCGTAATAATATCTGAATCTCTCGTTCATAATACAATTGCGGTTCATATATTTCAAAAATATTTAGTTCAATACTTAACAAAGAAATTTCAATGCCTGCCAAAAAAATTCTTCTATTTTTCAGATGGAGCAGCAGCTCAATATAAAAATCGGAAAAATTTAATGAATCTTTGCCACCATTAATATGATTTCGAGATAAAAGCTGAGTGGCATTTCTGGGCTACATCTCATGGCAAATCAGCTTGTGACGGGGTTGGAGGTACCGTCAAGCGTTTAGTGGCTAGAGCAAGTTACAAAGACCTACTTCAAAACAAATAACTTCTCCTAAAGAGTTTTTTGCCTATTGTAAGGAAAATATAAAAGGTATATGATTTATAATTTATTAATATATATTATAATTTTTTTATTAAGGAATAGAGTTCTCCTATATTATGGAAGATGAATATGAGAAAGAACAAATAATTTTAAAAGAGAGATTCGACAAAGCTCGTACTATACCAGGGACGCAAAAATTTCATGCTTTTTATCCAATTTCTCAGGATAAAATTGAAACAAAATTTTTTTCTAATTCAACAGAATCGCAAATATTAAATAAAACATTTCACAAATTTTAAATTATGGAATGAATATGATTGTCTATCTCTATTTCTATATTATTAATATGAATGAATAATAAAAAAATTATACGAAAGATTTTATTATTGGAAATATATTACATTATTAAGTGTCTAATGGGCATTTACCCACACTGCCCCTCAATTTATTTAGTATATTTAATAGAAATTTAAAATATTTTTAGTATAAAAAGTGAAAATATCCGTTTATTGATAAGTTTGCAGCAAAATTTTAACCAAAATCCGTAATTTCATAAAGCGCCATCTATTATTTTTTTAAATTTTTGGAGTCGATAGCGTCGCCAAAGTTTTGACATCGTATATATATTTATAAAAGGTGTCTAAATAAAAAGCAATAAAAAAATTTCGAAAACAAACTCCCTTTTTTGCTTAAAAATACAGGTAAAGCAGATAAACCGGAAGTTAAAGATTCAAATTGGCGCCGATTTTTATTATTTTTTGATAGCCTTTTAGAAATTTTTTTTACCTACAATATGATATATTATATATCTTTTTACTATAAATAGTTCTTGAGATATAAGCTTTTTAAAAATTTTACAGATTCCAAAGTGGCTCTTTTTTGTACCTATGAGCCCTTATATCTCGAGAACCATGTGTGCTAGAGAGCTAAAATAAACGGCTTTCTCATTTATTTACCCTTCTAAATAATTCCAGAAATTTTTAACAATTTTAAAAGGGGTCGGTCGAATCGTGATCGATTTGACAGAAAACTACTGGCTAAGTATTAAGTAGGAATCATAATCAGAGTAGTACGCATATAATGAAAGCCAAGGGCGATCGTCCTAGACCGAATGTAAAATCTTAGGGCTACTTTGCTCAATCAAGGTGCAAACAATTTAAGAATCTTTTTTTTCAAAGCTATTCGAACCCTTCTTATTCCAACCCTTCTTATTATAATATAAAGTTAATTAGCTTAATATTAATAAAGATAAATTTTAATTCAATGTTGACATCATATCTATAGTTTGACATTTAAACCATTATCAAAAAACGGGGATTGATAATATTTATAATAGTTAGTAGTTGTTCCAGAAACATCGAAGATCGAACTTGTTGCATTTTGTCTAAAAAAAGAGCTTCTCATTCTTGATTTTACCTCCAGTCATTTAGTATTCCTGTAATAATGTAAGGTAATAAAATAATTCAAGACGACAAGAATTAAATAATGCAATAATGCTTATACATACTGTTTTGGAACAATTTGAGTGGAATAATTGTAGGGAATCTTTATTCATAGCAAAGAGCATTCTGGTGAGTTAGAAATGGGTTTTTAGGAAAATTTTCTGATATTAATCTCAATTCAAAGGAAGTAAATTTAAAAGCAATTTTCCTAAGTGGGAAAATCCTGAGAATATATATTTTTTAACGTCATGCTATAATGTCAATACACAAATCTTTCATCAGTTTAAAAATTCACATTTTGGCTTTGTCGATATGGCTGCTATTAAACACATCTGTAGTTGGTTAACCATTTTATTGCAATAAAATACATATGGGCTAATATTTAATGAATGGTGACAATGAGTTAGAAGAAATCAATATATTATCCACGACATTCCACACTCCTATACAAAAATTAAATTTTATCCATGATAACAGGCTAACTGAATCCCTTCCAAATATATCCATTACAATTTTTCTAACAATTCTGATTATTGTCTGTTTCCATAAAAATTATGAGGTTATATCTTTAGAGTGAGTTAATATTAGTGAGTTGATATTATATTGTTATGAGCACAAAAAAGCAATGTTATGTTTAATTAATAGTTAATAACTTTTAATATCATTATACAATATAAATTTATAGTAATTATGCAACAACCAATTATGTGCTACATCAAAAGATTTTTATATAAATTCCACTCAGTTTAAAAATAAATAAATAATATCATTAAAATATTGATAAAACCTTGCCAAAATACTTTGCCCCAACTCCTTAAAAGTCTGAGCACAGCCGTATAATCATATAAAATTTGGAATATATAAATATATTGACTATTTTGCCTGATTAAAATGTGAGTTTTCTGTTTACTTAACTCAAATAGATATTAGAAATAATACAATTCAGCGTCAAATTTTCTGAAATTTATATGCTAGATATTTTACAACTCCTGAAATATATTTTTGACAAAATTAGTTCTTTAAATTTAATTATTTTCTATCATTGAATTATTTATTTGGCACGTTTTTTAAATTTAAAAAAATCTGTTTTCCCGAAAATTTATTCCATCATATGTAAAATAAAATGCCCATCCTATCAATTTATAATTTTATAAGATATTACACATATTTTAAAATATTTGTATAATTATCGATTTTTATAAATAGTAAACATTCTTAATTTTAGCCAAGGATCAGAGACAAAAATAGATTCAGGCTTGGATTCAGATAAAAATAATGATTGAGAAATCAGGCCTGAATAAGTCTATGAATATAATTTATATCTTTATACTTAATATTAGTTATTATAAATTGTCTTAAAATAGTATCCAGTCGTCTAAGGTTTATGAACAGTCAACGTCGAGTTTATAGTTGGTCAATAATGGGTATATGCCAGTCAACACCTTACTGGGTGGTGTTAATTAATCAAAAAATTGAATTTCATCTAAAATGAACAAGCTAAAACTATTCATTTTATAGATTAATGTTTTGGCTCCACATTAATATATATCAAAAATTCCCTTATACTAGCCTAGGTAATAATTGGGATATAAATATACGCTAAAGTTTTTTTAAATAAATGATATTGAAAAAGGGTGCTAGGCTAAGGGTTAATTACCCCATTGAATTTACTCTTAACTATGTGTCTCATAAAATCCATACTTTATCTCCTTAATTTAATTTAATATTTTATTTTCTATTATGGAACAAAGGCTTAATCTTTTTATTTTAATTAGAAGAATCAGTTTTAGAAATCTTTTTTAGAAAAGAAGCAATATTTATTTTTGTCATAAATTTCGATTAAAAGCTCAATTGATGAATTAAAATGGCTATCATAAAAATATTTGGCAAAACACTTTTTTAAAAATTAGAATATGGCAAATCTTTTGAATTTTAGCAGTGAAAATTAATTCAGATTTTATATTTTATTTTAACAGGTGGAGAAACTAGAAGAGATATAGGACTGCATATGGCCAAGAGGATGTTTGACCGATATGGAAGGATGAGAGCTAAACAAGTTATTATAATCTTTGCCCACAATAACTCCCTCATCAGTCCAATTTACATGTCTGACCAATTGAAATTACCTATTCAAATTGATGGTAAGAAAGCAATTTTTTTTAAATATCTACGCTTGGTGAGACCTAACTTTATTCGCGATGTGTAGTAGTTTATTATTTTTAAAGTTATAGTTCGTAGTTGACATCATTCTTATGCACTATTATATAAAGGTTTCCTTATAACAAGTTAGAAATAATATTTTTGCATTTAATATCTATCTAATCTTTAAAATCTCTTACATAACATTGATTTTTTTAAATTTATCTTCATAATAGACATGGGCTTAATTATTAATTTAAATAAATGTAAACATCAGAATATGGTTTTCTTTACCCCCACCCCTCCTGTATTTATTTGGATCCAATTAAGTTGCTGTAAGATAAACATATATTTGATGATATATTCTCGTTTTTTAAAAAAAATTTGGAAAGGAATGATACCATTTTATTTCATTTGTCAATACGTATAAAATTACATTTTTAAAAATATATATTTCATTTCATAAATATAAATTAAAAAAATTTTTAACAAGATAATGGGCCTAAATCATTGCCAGTCATTATTTTTGCAGCTCTCATGAATCAAAAGATACCAGACATATCCGAAATTCAGGCCATAGTTAGCGGAAAGGATCATATAATTAACTTACAATATTGTAACGGTAATAATCTTATCAAAACCCTATCTTAACTGATGAAGAGGCCCCTATTATTTTTGTTAAATAAAATAATATTTTAAAAACCAAAGAATTATCATTATAACAATATATCTTTTTTTTTATTAATAAACTAATAAAGGGCAAACAATCATAGTGATTTCTCCAAAGGATAATCTTTTTTAAATTGTAGTTTATTATTGATGAAAAAAATTCTCCTAGAATTTCTAGATTTTTCCGTGATTTGAAATTACCTTTATAATTTATAAATTATTAATTTGTGGCAATTTGAAAAAAAAATTCAAAGATTTTTAAAAAATTGTTATCTTCATTTTATTAAATTCATTCATTTTAAATTGTAGCAAATTTTTGTTATTTTTTTAGATTAAAAATATTTGCATAAGTCGTGACGTGATATTGTATTTTGTCATATTTTCTTTGCATATTTTAAATTTAGGATTTATATATTATATATTCTAGCAAAGAAAATTAATTGTCTTAATTTGGTGACCTTTGTTAATTCGGCTATATCTAGAGATTCCTTGATACTCTCTTTAAATATCATCTTTCCACTATTAGTGTGGTCTATATGTAATAATTAACTTAAAATTTTTTTTTACAAGTAGGAAGATTAAAAAATATATATAATTTAAGAACAATTATGATAAATTATTTGCTATTAATGATTATCTTTTTTGAATTGCATTGGGGGTAAAAAATTATATGATCCAATCAAAAAAAATATAAAAATAAGAAGAATAAATCATAATTATATTTCAATTATGCCAATAGGTTATAATTATTTGAAACTTAAAATTAGATTGTTTTCGTTTGAACAAATACACACAATTGTTGAGTGACGATTTGCTAAAATTTATTTGGGAAAATATTGCATATCACTAATGAGTTATTTATTTTTAGAATCTCTCTTTAAAACTATTAATTATTTGGTCAGCTAGAGGCAAAATATCTCAATTCCATAAAGATCCATAGGGTTAATTACTTATTGAAGTATACACTACTTGTGCGATTAATTCAATGACATGGTAATTCATATTTCATGATAATATTTTCAGTTGATATTTTATCAGTGAATAGTTCTATAGTTTGAACGCCATATTATTTACTTTTTAAACTGAAATAAAATCTAACTTAGAGATAACTAATTTGCTCCATGGTAATTGTAGTAATTATATGAATATTAATTGCTAGGGCGATAATAGTCCAATTATTTATAAGTCTTTAATCATCGAGCATGTAAATTCCTTATTAGCAACATATTAAACAACGCTCAAATTATAATAATAAAGAATATATATAAGGGAAACTGGGGTTACTCGAACGATTTTTGCAAAATCTGCTATAGCTCCTGAGTCTTTTTGGATATTATAAAAGCAATATACGAATAGATACTTATAACTATAAAAATATAATCATATTATTCAAATTTTATTTTTTGTAAAAGTATAAATTTTGTCCAACAAACCCCAATAGCGGGGTTAGGCAAATCACTTAAGGGGCTACCTAAACCATAAGTTTTTTTTAATAATGAATTAAAATACATTTTTATTTATTAATAATAATATGTATAGAATAATTTTATTGTTCAAAATATCATAATAATTATAAATTGAAACTTAATTTTGATTCATTTAATAAACCTTTTGGACATATGAAAAATTTATCCAAGTTTGAACATGTACCATGTGCCCAGTGATCTAGGATAAAATAAACATGCCAAATAAAATATTATTATATTAATTATAACTGTTACCACTCCTTATATAGGATTGTAATTTATTTGTCGAAGCAAGTGGGAGAGACTTAATACAATTAAGGAACCTAGTATTAAATAAAATTGATATATAAATATTTAATAATTTCTGTTAATAATCTTACGAATGTTACTATTTCTTATATTACTTGTAATCAACCACGCTATTAATATCCTGAATTTTGCACCATAATACTAAAGTTTTTAAAATCATAAAACTAGACAACTGTTTTATTTGGAAATTTTATCCCATTTATATACATTTTTTTTAATATACAAAACAAAACTACAATATCAAAAATTCATTCATAAAAATAAAAAAATTACAAGTCTATTCAAGTTCATAAAAAAAATATATTCCTAGACTACATATTCAAATTAATATTTTACAATCGTCGATCATATATTCACAAACTAACAAATTATATATATAATTTATATTCTAATTAATTTAGCAATCGTCGATCACAAGCGAATATAACAATAACTTTAATACTTATACAATAATATTATACTTCATCATAATTTTAATCCATATATTAAAATATAAGAACATAAAATTTATAAATAATTAATCTCTCTACCATTACCATTAGATTTTTATTTACATAATCCTTATTATTAAATATTGCTAAAATTTGATCTTATTGTTTAAAATTACATAAAATTAATACTATACTTCATCATAATCAGTGGCATAGCCAGGATTTGTCAATGCGGAAGGAAGGGGTGGGTAGGGGGGGGGGGGGGGTTTAAATTTATTGGGGACTTCGTCCTCAAACCCCATTTTCTTCGGCCTTAGGCCGAGTCCCTTAAATATATTATATAATATTAATTTTTCAATAGTTATCTTTATATTAGCTTTGTTAAAGTTGTCTGAACAATTGGAAATACTAATTCTAAAATTTGCCAATATTTTGTGCTTTATTAATGTCTAACCACTATATTAGCCAGCATAAATGAAAAAATATTAGTAATTTTGAAAATTGAGAACATATTTGAAAAATAGTGTTGTATACGCTTCTATATATTTAGACCCTTGATATCAAGTTTTATTGAGTATTGAGCAAAATCAAATGGCTAAAGATCATCTTAAGGATTTATGGCATACGTAAAACTCCATTATTTACAATATATTGGAGGCTACGACAATACCTACTGGTTGTAGTGATAATAATAATAATGATAGCAACATTGATGATCTTGAAATTTTACTTTTAGATAGAGAAAAAAAAATCAAATTATCATCAGATAGAAAGGAGGATCAAAAAATGCCTATTGCATCTTTGATAGTAAAGTTCTCAGAAGTTATAAGAATAAATAAGGATATAAATATTTTAAATTTATGGGAAGAAAATTTATTAATATATCAAGAATTATATATCTTATCTAGAATCTTCATGGCTGTACCGGCGACACAAGTACAATAATTTTATAAAGATAACTATCTATTTTAGGTAAGGGTAGAACGTGAATTTTCATCTTTGAAATATATATTAACTACTTTACGTGGAAATCTCAACGATGATATTTTAGAAGATACTATGATTGTGCGATTGAATAAAACATTTAAAATATAAATTATTTCATTTTTGAATTTTTAATATGTAAATTGTGAATATGTGTATATTGAAGTATAATAATAAATGGATGAAAAAAAATCTTATTTTGAGTCATTATTTTTGTGTTCCCTGAACCCGGGTTCTGAACCCAGGTTCTTTTCAAATTTTATTCCTGTACCTAGTGTTGTTAAAACGCCGCGAGTCGCAACCCCGACCCAAAGCTCGGGTCGTTTTATTCGACTCCGACTCAATGTTTGGGTCGTTTTTTTCGACTCCGACCCAAGTCCAAGCCGAAAAAACGACCTCGACCTAAAATATGGGTCGTTTTTTACGACTCCGACTCAAAATTTGGGTTGTATTTTTCGACTCAAACTTGAAATTTGGGTCATATTTTTCGACTCAAACTTGAAGTTTGGGTCATATTTTTAGACTCAAACTTGAAGTTTGGGTCGTATTTTTCGACTCCAACTCAAAGTTTGGGTCGTTTTTCTGACTCAGACTCAAACATCGGGTCGTTTTATTCAATCCGACCCAAAATATGGATCTTTTTTTTTAAAGACGACTTAAAGTAAGGGTGGCTTTTTTTCACCCCTAACCCAATATCTAGATCATTTTTTTCGACCAAAAGTCAAATAACATTTAGTATATATTAATATTATAGGCGGGAAAGTTACCTAAAGCTTCTTTAAATTATAATGCTCTGATTAACTATTCATCATAGTTATATTTTAAAATTTTTAAGTGAAGATGTACCAAAGAAAAGTGCCATTTGTCATGATGGTTATTTTTGAACTTTTTTAAATGAAATTGATAAAAATATATATTGTAGACATGTTAAATCAAAGTTTCAGTGATGATGTACCATAGATAAGTGGTAATTGTCATAATCGCTATTTTTGAACTTTTTTGAGTTTTTTTAAAGCAAATTGCTAAAAATATATATTCTAAACATGTTAAATTAAAAATTCAGTGAGGATGTATCATAGATAGGTGACAATTGTCATAATCGCTATTTTTGAACTTTTTCAAATTTTTTTAAATGAAATATCTAAAAATATATATTCTAAACATGTTAAATTAAAAATTCAGTGAGGATGTATCATAGATAGGTGACAATTGTCATAATCGCTATTTTTGAATTTTTTCAAATTTTTTTAAAGGAAATAGCTAAAAATATATATTCTAAACATGTTAAATTAAAAATTCAGTGAGGATGTATCATAGATAGGTGACAATTGTCATAATCGCTATTTTTGAACATTTTCAAATTTTTTTAAAGGAAATATCTAAAAATATATATTCTAAACATGTTAAATTAAAAATTCAGTGAGGATGTATCATAGATAGGTGACAATTGTCATAATCGCTATTTTCGAACTTTTTCAAATTTTTTTAAAGGAAATAGCTAAAAATATATATTCTAAACATGTTAAATTAAAAATTCAGTGAGGATGTATCTAGGTGACAATTGTCATAATCGCTATTTTTGAACTTTTTCAAATTTTTTTAAAGGAAATATCAAAAAATATATATTCTAAACATGTTAAATTAAAAATTCAGTGAGGATGTATCATAGATAGGTGACAATTGTCATAATCGCTATTTTTGAACTTTTTCAAATTTTTTTAAAGGAAATATCTAAAAATATATATTCTAAACATGTTAAATTAAAAATTCAGTGAGGATGTATCATAGATAGGTGACAATTGTCATAATCGCTATTTTTGAATTTTTTCAAATTTTTTTAAAGGAAATAGCTAAAAATATATATTCTAAACATGTTAAATTAAAAATTCAGTGAGAATGTATCATAGATAGGTGACAATTGTCATAATCGCTATTTTTGAACTTTTTCAAATTTTTTTAAAGGAAATATCTAAAAATATATATTCTAAACATGTTAAATTAAAAATTTAGTGAGGATGTATCATAGATAGGTGACAATTGTCATAATCGCTATTTTCGA